TGGTTCCTTCTACTAGTGTTTCTTTATTTACATTATGTACACACGCAACATCACAAACTATACATTGGGAAGACACAATAAAAGATACCCTCATATACATAGTAGTATGCACCTATCAATGCAAATATTTTAAAATACCCAGTATAGCACTCCAGGGGAGCTATTCATATTAAACATGTACATGTAAGTGCACTTAGTGCAGTATAGTACTACCATGGATCAAAAATGCTTTGGTAATGTTAGAAGTAGGAGATAGGTATATAAAGGAAGATAACGAGTTTGTTGAGTCTGACCAATCACTGAACAGGAGTTTGTTGAGTCTGGCCAATCACTGAACAGGAGTTTGTTGAGTCTGGCCAATCACTGGACAGGAGTTTGTTGAGTCTGGCCAATCACTGAACAGGAGTTTGTTGAGTCTGGCCAATCACTGAACAGGAGTTTGTTGAGTCTGGCCAATCACTGGACAGGAGTTTGTTGAGTCTGGCCAATCACTGAAGAGGAGTTTGTGAGTCTGACCAATCACTGAAGAGGAGTTTGTTGAGTCTGACTGAACAGGAGTTTATTGAGTCTGGCCAATCACTGAAGAGGAGTTTGTTGAGTCTGACCAATCACTGAAGAGGAGTTTGGTGAGTCTGGCCAATCACTGGACAGGAGTTTCTTGAGTCTGGCCAATCACTGGACAGGCTCTGCGGAGGGTAGCACCACCACGTGGCTGGAGGTGGAAGGTCGGCTGGCCATCTCCTGGACGCTGCACTGTGAGGGTGCCCGGGGGGGTGGGGAGGGCAGGGGGAGCACCCCGCCCATATCAACATCCTCGTCAGAACCAACCACGTCGGACTCTGGAGGGGAGAAAGAGTTTCAACACTGTTAAAAAATAATTTATTTTATTATGTTTTACCTTTGCTGTTCTTGCCCCGTTTCGTCTTCTTCCGTTCCAAACAAATAAGGTCAATAACCTGTACTTAATGGCATTACATTATGTAGCAAGTGGCAGGACTGAGTTGAAGGGGCTGGTCACCATGGTATATGAATGTGCTTGAGCAGTACTAGTAGTTTGTTAGGCTAGACCCTGTATCTGTATCAGTATAGAACAAGAAACAGTCATGACTTCAAATACCAGAGTCATCAACCAAGAATTGAGGTGTTCAAAAACTTGTATTTTCCAAGAACTATTGTAGAGTGGAACTCATTGCCACCAAGATCAGTTGGGGCATCATCACTAGAAAGCTTTAAACAACACTTGCAATTAAATGTGCAAAGATTGAGAGTAACAAGTAATTCGGTGTGAAATAGCTAGCTGCCGCCGCGCCGTGTGCCTGTGAAGCTCGTGTGTTATGCCGAAAGGCAGTTATAAAGGCTATACAGAGACAGTGTAGGTGTAGCAGTTGAGAATGTACCCGCCAGGGAATACAATGTATATCTACCTGCTTTAGAGCATAATGAGATTCACTTTTTGTTTCACTTGACACTGTAAGGATTTTAGACACTGAACAAGACTATTTCTTGAGAGGGGTGAAGGAAGCCATATACATGTACATCTGGGCCTATCACCCTTCTTTGAACCGCGACAGGGGCCGACATCGTCTACCTTCGACCCAGTGTTGACGTCACACTTCAAAGAAGCCACGTGACAAGCTTCACTGGGTCAGTCTACTGAGGAAGACCAGAGTGACTGGTCGAAAGCTCTAGGTGAGAGAATTTTTTGTGTTGGAACAAAAGTTTTAACTTTAAAGAAATAATGAGATTCAGTTGAGTGATGACGTTACCTGCAGTAGAGAAGACCTCGGTGCCCCTCCCGCTCGGCGCTGAGTTGGTGTGTTTCTCCAGTCTCTCCAGTTCGCGCTCTCTCCGGTTGTTCGTCCTGCTCGCCGAGCGAGACTTCTGGATGCGCGGGAGCGGCGCGGGCTGTTTCCTGGGCCCCTGTTGGCTGGGCGGCGCGGACGTGGCCACCTCCGTGTTGTACGCGATGGTGGCGTGGTGGAGCGTGGCCGCCTGCTTCTGTAGCGTCTGTCTGATGTAACTCTCATCTTTCAAAGCGTGGAGACTGCAACGAACAAGCAAAAAAAATCATAAACATCTAAACCAGAGTGTGTGTAAGAAAGTCAGCATCCCCCATTGGATTTATATGCTTTTTTGAACCTGCAGTTTCAAAAAAAGCTGCTAGGGAGCCCAAAATGTACACACAGTCAGCTCTTTTTCTTAACTTTAAAACATACAACATACAAATTATCCTGTAAAAAAAATTATCCTGTCAACAAGCAAATAAATGAACAGACAAATAATTCTAGCATGGCATTCTATGAAGATTTAATTCAACTTATGCAGTGGAATAGAGATGGTGATGATACTTACTTTGTTTTCTAGTACATCCAGTTGGAAAAGAGACAGAGCAAATGAAAAGGACAAGTCAGAATTGCAAGTAGCAATACCACTCTTAGAAACAGACTTTTTAGTGCTAAGTATTGCACCAAAATGTAAATAAATGTAGGGGGCATTAACTACAAGAAGATGCATGCTGTGAATAGAGAGAAGGCCTTGCAGCACAAGTAAAGATGTGAACAACTAAAATTTACTTTTTCTACAAGAATTTATTGTAAATCAGCATAAAATACTGGAAATATGAAAGATAATGCAGTGCCAACTGAATCCAAGTACTGTAAATATTGTCAAATTTATGGTAGTTTACTGGGTCAGCTTTCCACCATTGATATCATGTCACCAGAAATATTTATTCAGTGATGTGCACTGTGTACCTACCATGAACTTTAAATGGGCCTTAAAAACACCTTATTTTCCCCATACCGAAAACTATTCTGCTGTATTATCACCATTTTTACACCACACCCTGAAGAAGTCAGCACATTTCACCAGAAATATTGTCCGACTCACTTTCTTCTCTGGAAAGTAAAGCGCCATGCAAGCAAAACGCAGCATGCACAGCAAAACATTATATGATAAATTTATGCAATACCGTAGGTTTGTCTTGTACATTGTGATTAACAACTGAATCAGAATAGTGATGCTTCACCATTTCAAATATGCCAAAGCAGTCTTGTTAAATTTACAGTTAAAGTCCTTCCTGCACCACATGGTGCATAGGGCAGTGCCCATCTCTGGTTCAGTAGCCCTTGGGCCACACAGTTGTGCAATCACTACAGCAGGGGGCTAGTCCACTGGTAGTGGTGTGTGTTTAACTCCCATACTCTTTCCCAAATGCTGTACTCCCATACTCTTTCCCAAATGCTGTACTCCCATACTCTTTCCCAAATGCTGTACTCCCATACTCTTTCCCAAATGCTGTACTCCCATACTCTTTCCCCAAAAAAGAGGGAAACAAAACTCAAGCTTGTAGTCGGAATATCATCTTCAAACAGTTTACTGGTATATTAAAATTCCCCAAACATCTGACAACTGTACACTTCCATAGGCATTTCTTTTGTCTTAAGTCTTAAGTAACTCGCTCGACTACAAGTGGGCACCCTTACTTTGTTAAAGTGCCAAGATCAAACACCCAGCTTCACATGCCTTCATATGTACCAAGGACTAGCAGGCTGTGGAACTCCTTACCAGCCTCGGTTTTCCCTGACAGTCCTAATATGACTAAATTCAAGACTGCAGTTAACAGATTCTTGTTGAATTCCTCTTAGAGATTTTCTGCTTTTTGACAATTATGTACCATGCAATTGTGTATAATGTATTTGATAAGGGTATGTATATGTGTAGTTAAGCGAGGGGAATTGATGTGGCGTATTGAACTGAAGATCATCGTTATACGATGTTAAGATCAGGTTCATTCTGCACTGATTAGAAAAAAAATAGACGAATAAAAAATATATGATTTGTACCTTCTGCAACTGTTGACAAAAATGTCATAATTGTTCCACAAAAGAGTTCAAACAAAAGGCAAGGACACATTTATTCCAAGCACAAGTTCAATGTGAGTACAAGTGTACTTACTCTTGCCTCCCTTTGGCTTGCTACTACGCAAGGAGAGTACAGACAGAGAGTGAAAAGGTAGACATGTTGTTAATGAGATAAGTGAGTAGCACACAAGAGCTCAAATTACTAGTGGTTGACATTTGTCCATCACTTACAAATGTATAACTGTGGCCTGTCACAGATGTCTCAAAAAACCTAACTTAAGAGAAAGAACCTCACTCACTCACTCACTCACTCACTCACTCACTCACTCACTCACTCACTCACTCACTCACTCACTCACTCACTCACTCACTCACTCACACTCACTATCCTAAGTACCAATATTAGGAATACCAAAATATTTTTTAATCGCAGTAGATAACCTGTATGAGGAACACACTCTCATTCCTTTAAAAAGGAGAACAAGTGATTTCTTAAAATGTTGTGTGTTTTGACTCATTGAAGCTATGTTTTCTCTAGTCTTTTATTGTTTGTAGACTCACCTCTGTTTCAGGATAGCAAACTTCTTCTCCCAGGTACGGTTGGTTCTGTCCAGGTCTTTTTTCAATCTGGATAAAAATAGATAAGAAGAAATGATACATTACAGTTCTATTTTTCTAATCAAGACCTCCACATTAAAGATTTAAAAATTTAATCATAACAAAGCAGTGTTCTAACCAGCCTGATTTTTTTCCCTCATGTCAATTTTGTCTGACCCAACATTTTTCACTTCTGAGGGCGTGAAGCGTTGCACAGTTGGCACAACAATCCTAGGGGAAATGTATGTTGAAATCTTGACCCTCTGAAACATCATTTCCTGCACTTTGACAGACAGATTTTGCTGGTAGACTAAGCTTAGTTTAATGACATCTCTTTCCATATCTTTACACACCAATTTTTGTTAGCCTGGGTGCCAGACCCACAGCACACTAGGCTCAGAGTTACCTAGTGTGCAGAGGAATTTTGGAAAGGACTGGCCCTGTACACAGGATATCTTTGAGCCTAGTGTGCTGTGAGTCTGGCACCCTGGCTAATTTTTGTCTGTCAGATTGTGCAAAATTTTGGTCCCTCACAAGTGTCAAAATTCTGTCAACTGACAGAAAGATGGATGCTGGTTAGAACACTAACAAAGTAAAAAATATTTAAAAGGAGTAGAGAAATCACCTGGCTATTTCCTCAGCCTGTTTCATCTCCAGTTTCTTCAGTCTCTTGACCTCCTCCTCTGCATTGCTGTTGGTCACCATCGAAGCCTCTTGCTACAGAAATAAGAGCAGTAAAACACATCTTTAACTATGTTAAAAAGTTAAGAGTTAGATGTTCAAAGGTTATGTGTAACAGGTCGTTCGGTGTAATATAGCCAGCTCCCGCCAGGCCGCGTGCTAACGAAGCTGGTGTGTTACGCCGATAATCGGTTATAACTTATAGTGACTACACAGATAGTAAATCACTATAGTATAAATCATGTCAAACTTTTCAAAGGTTAAGATTTTCCTTCTCATGGTCAAACCTGAGATCTCAGAAACTACAGAAACAATGTATCTGTATCAGTATAACCACTCTCTGGAGTAAAACACCAGCTTTGCAGGCACGCACAAACAACCTGTTATACCCAATCTTTGTAGCCTACTGTGCAGGCCTCCGGGCGGGTGGGAGTTTTGATACTGCATTTTGTAGACACGGCGGGAACAAAGTTAACCAACCTTCTTTGGGCAGCTGGTTGTAGGTTGGCCGGCAGTTAAAAGAACGTTGAAGAAATTGTACAAAACGCAGTATCAAAACTCCCACCCACCTGGAGTCCTACACAGGAGGCTACAATCTTTGCATGTCTAACTGTAGGAGCTGTTTAAAGCTTTTTAGTGATGATGTTCCACTCTACGATACGTAATGCAAATGATAAAGAAAAGTTACCTTGGCTAGGAGCTCCTGTTGTCTCTTCCGCTGTGCCTCCATCTCCCTTTGCCGCTGTTTCTCGGCCTCCTCGGCTTCCTTGGCCAGCTGCTGTGCCTGGGACAGCGCAGAGGACTTGGCGCTCTTCACCTGTTCCTGCATCTGCCGCTCCAGGTCCAGCCGCTGTTTCTCCAGCTGGGAAGAACGAGAAGGAATCATAAAAAAAGGTACCCAACAAGAACCTTAGCCTGGGTACCATCGTATTTTGCTTCGCTACAATCACTTTTTTCTAGCGTAATCCGGAGCAAAATCCGTCTATTTAAAGAGCGTGATGGTTTTTCAATCAGTAGTAGTGCTTCTGTAAATGCGTTTACATCTGCAGTGGTTTTGTTTTGCTGTGTGAAGGAAAATGAGGTTTTGCAGCGTTTGAAATTTAAACAATTCTGCAGTGCAGTAGAAATACACAACACACATTTGCTTGGTTTGGTTTTCATGTACAATGTATAGATGCAGATTTGGGTGCAAATTTCACGAAGTGCCCTTGCACATCAGTACTTAATACAGTTTGATACATTTTTTGGAGTGTGAAAGGTGTGAATACGGCACATCAGGTGCTGAATCGTGTGCTACTTTTATCTCCAACCTACCTCTCCATTATGACTGTCTGTTTCAACCTGTATTGCGCACTTTGAAATGAAGCGATATATAGTAGCATAGTTAGGACTTGGGTACAAGCTAGACCAAGATGGTTACAATAACTTGTGTACATGGCTCTTGTTGGATATGTACAAAGTTTAGAGCTACATAAATACAGTATCTGTATATGCATAATGCAAGAAGCAACATTGCATCACGTACCAAGATGTTTTGAAAACATTGGAGTTGCACAAGAACAATGGGTGCGAGACAACTCGAAAACTTACCATTCTACGATTGGTGGCCTTGTCTGACTCCATCTGAGCTCTCAACTCTTCAATCTGTTGCCTCAACTGAAAATGTATCAAGAAAATTGATTAAAGCATTATAACAGCAACAAAGCTTTGTCAACTTCACTTTTAAAACATGTAAGTCTTCTAGCTTACTACTGTAACATTGAGCATCAGTGCCCTCTAGTAGCAAGCTACAGTACTGCACCATGCTAAGCAGGCCTTGCAAGTATGTGCCATCTACATGTACAAATCTTTGCCAACTGCACTTCAAAAACATGCGAGTCTTCTAGAAGCTTACTAACAGTAACTGTAATATTGAGTATCAGTGCCCTCTAGTGACAAGCTACAGTACTGCACTATGATAGGCAGGCCTTGCAAGTATGTGAAACATTCCAAATTGGTTGATTCGAAGTCTAAGGGTACCCTCGGTCACATACAGAACATGCCTGTCTGTCTGCAGTATCTAAAGATGTCAATCAGAGCAGATACCAAAGCCACGAGAGACAGTAAGCCGAGAATCCTCCAAAGTACTGATAATCTCCTTGGAGGTTGGATGACAACATCTTGTCTACATGTTATCTGTGTGTAAGACGTGAAGACAGACAGTCTATGTACCTCCTCCTGCACAGCCTTTTCCTTCTCCAGCTTGTCCTGTTGTAGGCTGATTTCAGCATCTGTTAGACAAGAGACTTATCAGATACAAGTCTTCAGAAGAGTTGTGTTACACCAAAACTGAGGACTGGTAGATTTCTATCCATCCCTATACTCATATAATGCTTACATCCACAGTTATTGCAAAGGTATGGCCAATGTTTCTTCCCCACTGCCACAGCATGTCGGCAGAACGTACTGCACCTGCGCAAAACCAGCAATGCATTGTACATGGCACTTCATCAGAAAGTCTCATATAAGGTCGTATTTGCGTATCCCGTCTGTAGTTTCCATATGTTATATCGAAAAAGATATCCTCTGCAACGGCTAGGCAAAATTCTAATGAAATGGTGACCAAACATCCAACGAAAACCGCGAAAAATCAGGGTTTTGCGCAGGCGAAATATGTTCTGCCGACGTGCTATGGTAGTGGGGATTAAAAAGTGGAAACAAATAGAGGCTATAGCGGTTTTCAGTACAGTCAGTCACAAAACTACATATGAGCCTTACTGAGGTTGTCGATTGTGTCATCCCTGGTCTCCAGAGTGTCCTGTAGGTCGTCGACCTTGTCCTGCAGCTTGGCGATGTCCAGTTTCAGCTCCTCAACCTGTTGTTCATTCCCGTCTGACTTGGAGCCCTCCGAGTCCTCGTAATTAAACTAGGAAGAAAATAAAACAGTCAGAAGTGGGGGTGTAAGTGGTAGCATGCTCGGCTCGGAACCAAAAGGTCCCCGGTTTGAATCCTGCCATGTCACCGATCTTGTGCCCTTGGGCAAGGCACTTTACATGACTTTCCTAACTTCAGGTGTAAATGAGTACCTGACCTCAGGTTTGACATCTTGAAGAGGTGATAGAAACCTGTTATGTCAATCCTTCCACAAATTAGTACATCATAATGTGCCATTTTCAAGAGTTTACAATCCCATTCTTGGCCATTTACATACATGTATATGGGCAAAAAGTATATTCTGTTTTCAGAATCTTTACTTCGATATTAAGTTACCATTTTTATTTACAGTATTAGTTTCATCCCCTATTCCACACATGGAATGCTTCTAACTCTATAGACTCTAATGAGAAAGTGGAAGATAGCATTTGATTTCTAGGGGTGTTCTCACCACTTTGACGTCAGCGTTTTCCTGGTACTCCTTGAGCTGCATCTGCAGCATCTGAATGATGGACTCGTTCCTCTGGATCTGTGCCTGCAGTTCCTTGTACTTCTCCGTCATGGCGCTCTTTCCCTTGGACTGCTTGGCATGCTCCAGGTTCAGCTTGCTGCTGTAGTAATTCTGGAATAAAATTTGCATAAAATTTGCATTGGATTTGCATAAAATTTGCATTCATTGACTTTGAGTGAATCAGACTCATACTGACTGGCATGCTCCAGGTTCAGTGTGCTACTGCGGTAATTCTCGAATAAAATTTGCATAAAATTTGCATTCATTAACTTTGAGCGAATCAAACTGAGACTGTCCTACTAAAAGCCATAATGACTTGTGCCAATTTTTTACTCTCTAAGCAGAGGTTTTGGTTTTGGCTAATTTTTGGCACGTTTTTAGGCTTTTTACCATTTTTGCACTGGTATTACGCGAAAAAAAAGAAGGCCTGATAATAAAGCCTAAAAACACAGCAAAAATAAGCCAAAAAACCAAACCTCTGTTTGGAGAATACCACTTTTTAAGAAGGAACATACTATGTGGATACTTCTGAAGTTCATGACTTCACTATACTGATAACAAGACTTTGCTTCTTATCCATGACTCGAAGTACATGTATAAGACTTAAAGGAGTACTGAAAAGTTTAGAAGACAGCCTGGCATTAACCATACCTTGTACTGGTTGGCTATTTTGACCATGGCATCTGCAAGCTGTTGTCGAAAGCTCTTCCTTACAACCTGCATTTTCTGTTTGGAAAAAAAATCACTTCTTGAAACTGAAGACATGTAGTGTTAATACAATGTATGTGAAAAACATTGTGAGACAATACCAAACCAACATTTCACTGTCTTTATACTGTTTAAAAACCTTCTAAGTTTCTTACAACATAGTAAGAAACACATAGCAGGTCATTCTAAACTGACTGAAAAATTAAAGTACAAGAAGAACAGTCTCCAACTTTTCACAGTACAATATATTTCCTGCAGTTCACTATTTGATCACAAGGGGTCTCTCTTACAGCTGGAGCCAAATTCAAAGACTTGAGCATTGATGATGAATGTACTTACATCTAGATGAATCTTTTCCAGGTCCTCCAACTTGTCATTGACTCTACAATACCTAGCACACAAAGAGGAATGTTCAAACGTTAAGTGGCGGTCTCTACCATAAAATTCTCATGAAGAACGCATGAATAATGAATAAGTACTAATGGACTGTCCATTGCCGTTATAAAATTTTCATGTAGATTAGTTTAAATTCTAAAGGTTAAAGAAGAGTCAATGAGTGCTTTCCTAATATTTGGAAATAAATCTATTACTTTTTACTTGAATGGCAAATTATCGTGCAAAATTCAACGACTTTCGGAAAAGTAAGTGCATCTTTTTTTTTCAGTCAGAATTAAACATAGCAAAACCTGAGAGAAGTCTTTAACATTGGGGAACTCTTCAATATTTTTCTGTGTACAGTATGGTATCGCCACATCTTAAATGCAATTAAATTTCTTAATTGGGTCCATATTACAATTCTAAATACAATACTAATATAATTTCTCTATAATCTCCAAGCAGATGTTTAAAAAAAGTGTCTGTGCCAAACAGTTTGGTGCACACATCTTTTTGCAGGATTTTCTACATCTTTCTGTTCTTTTATTTCTTCTTCCTCAAATACAATAATGTACCTTCTAATAAAACAAAGACATGCATATAACACTGAGCTTAACCCTACGAACATGTACATCTACTTGGATATTAAATACTCTAGTGCACTTAAAAGCTTTTTTACAGTCAGCCCTACTTCAGGGTTACAATTCTTATTCCTCTTCATTAAATATGTGCTAAAACTAAGTAAAAGTGGCAATTTGGTCATATGGTTAGGGTTGTTGACTCAGAATCTGAAGGTTTTGGGTTCGAATCCCTAGCGGGCCCACTGTTGTGTCCTTTAATAGGAAACCTCACTGGACTTGGGTGAAAATGAGCTAGATCTGAGTGAGTTAGGGACATCCTCTTGGATGGGGCATAAAGCTGGATGTCTTGTATTTTAGAGAGGTGCACCTAGAGCACATTAAAGATCACACCAAACTTGATACTAGTAAACATAAAACATAAAAATGAGCAGGGGTCCTTCCCAACTTGTGTGTGGTTCAAACCTAACAGTCTGGTCTTACACAGCTTGTACTGTTTAGTTATATACAAAACTGACATGTTAACACCTGAAGGTGGTTTACCCATTATGCGAAACAAAACTAAACCTTACAAGGTTGAGTGAGGGCGCCAAGTATACAAGTCAGACGTACACAGGGCTCAATTCTGTGTGATTAAAGAGGCCATCTACATCAGGGCATTACAACCATCCCTCAACAGAGACAGGGGGCGCCACAGACTTTCTGCAACCTATGATCCACTGCTGACGAAGTCACGTGTGCTATCTGCGTGACGTCACGGAAGCGGTGGATTGTTCATTCCTTGACAAAGACTGGAGTTGTACAGTCGAAAATTTGGGTGCGTCCAATTTCTTGTGTTGGAAATTACAGTTAAACTTATTGTTTATTGTTTATTTACCATTTGCACGTATATTAAAAACAATTACACAATCAAATAATAATAATCAAAGAATGTGCGGGGTAGGCCAGAAACCTGGGTGGTTAAAGGACTCAATTCTAGTAAGTATTTAACCTCCTATCTGAAGGACATCCCTAACCTAAGTGCAGTAATAAAATTTGTGCTAAGTGCCTTTCTCAAGGGCACAACATTGTGGCGTGTCACTGGGGTTTGAACCCAGGACCTCCTGATTCCTGGGCAAACACTCAAACCATTACGCCACAGGATGCCAACACATTGACGTTGATTCTTCTAGTATTTGTTCCAGATGTTTGGGAGGGAAACTTACAGATCCAGGGCCTTTGCCTGTAACTTGGCCTCATAGTCTGCCTGGAGAACCTGCAGTGGTAGAAATAATATTTTTCAGTGTTCTGCAATATTACAGAATGTCAAAAGTTTGTTCTACAATTCAGAAAAAAATTGACTTTCTGCAAATACACACTTAAAAGTCCGGATCTAAACCCATGGCGTATACAAAATTGCATGTTGCCAGCAAACATTTTATATGCAATTTGAAAAATACATGCAAAATTACATGAATGTACACAAAAGGTCCAAAAGAACCAGTAGCCTGATTTTTTCAGTCTGCAAAATTGCAGGTGGCAGCTGTCCAAGATGTCTGCTGGATAGAGCTGTTTACCTAAACCCACATTTAGGTTCAGGTCCGGATTCAAATCCAGAGGTTTAGCTTCAGTTCTGGACTCGTAAGTCCAGACCTAAACCCATGGCATATACAAAATTGCATGTTGGCAACTTTGCAATGTTGTTTGGGCAAAACTTTGCCCACATAACATGGAGGCCGACACTTGATGATGGTTGATGGCAATGTTTTTTTTTTTCATTTTGCAGCACAGATTTTGCAATCTACGGAAGGTTTCAGGTGGGTTGGAAAGAAAAGGGGTATGTGAAATGTTTTTTTTTAAAGTCCGGAATTGGTTCTTGACTTTTAGTTTTTTTTTCATACTTGAACCTAAACATTTTTACAAGTCCGGAACCGGTCCAGCAAACTGGCATACAGCACTACCCTGGGGTGGTCACCTTGGGCAGGTTTGACTGTACTGAAAATTTCTCGCAGGTGGGTACTTCTAACACAGACCTGCTTGCTGAAGTGAAGGTCCTTCCGGAGGGCACGTGCATCCTGGACCAGGTTGTTTAACACCTCTGTCATCCGCTTCAGTCCCACGATCTCCGAATGTTCCGTCTGACACGACCGGTCCTGGCTGAAGAAACCAACCCTCATCTGGTCTGCTATGGAGGGGCTGAAAATGATAATGATATCTTTTATTAATTTGCCCAAAGGTTAATTGCAAGAGTTTAGAGAACATAGCATGTGTTGTCAAGTGGTTAGCAACCCTGCCACTGGGCCAAGAGGTTCAGAGTTCGGATCCCAGCTGTTGTCGCTCACTTGACATGAATGCTACTATAAAGGGTCGCAGTCCTTAGGACAGGATGTGGTCCACTGATGATTGTGCTTGTCAAAAAAAGCTAGGGGAATTTCCCCAGTACAATGAACCTGTAAATACTGTACACAGCGTCTGTCTTCTCTGTCACGACCAGTGGAAGATTAGCTCTTCAATGAGCTAAACTGGATCCAGATCACTTTCTTTTAACACATATTAAATAGTATTTATGACAAGAAGAGGAAAAAAGAGGATGATGAAAAGTCCCCATTTCTAAAGTGCGTTTTGTGTTTTTTGGCAGATTGTGGCAAAAAGTCTGTTTCTTTCAGCCTCATAATGATGGCATATCAATGTTACAAATTAAATGCATAAACACAAATAAATTTTGAGACAATATACACAATGTACTATGGGTTCAACACAAACCTTAATATAATACACATAACATGTGATATAGGAACAAAAGTACAGATGAAAAACGACAGAATTTTGATTATATTAAATGATAAATGTAGAAGGCAATTGGCATTGACCTTTTTGATTGATTTATTAGATTACTGGGGTAACCCAATTACCCAAGCATGTAGATAATGCAATAACGTTTGTCGTCTTTTGACATGTATTAAGATGAATCGTTGACTTAATAATACATCTGGAATTACAATGTAGGTCACCAATCGATGGATGGTCCCTAAAAATTTGTTGACAAATTCAAAAAACAACAGAATTGCGAATTGACAAACCGTAAATACTCTGTTAGTAAACGTCAAATTATCAAAATATGAATAACGAATGATAAATCTTATTAAGGCATGAAATGTAACAACTGATCAACCTTAAGATGCAACTTTGATAGGAAACACACTTTGTGTTAAAAAAAAAACCGTGAAAATCTGTCTCTACTAGTAAAACAAAACTGAAGTGGCTACTTGGTTCCATATCAGTAAGTCCCACTTAAAACGCCATATATTCTAAGCCTATAGACATAAGAAGGGCTTAATACCCGAGAAAGTCATCGTCGTCGCTGTCTCCTGCCTGTAACGCCAGAATCTCCTCTTCCATCGCCCTTCTGGCCTGAGAAACAGGCATTTTTCTGCGGGAATTCGGCCTTTTTTCCAACAAGGCGACCGCCATCTTGGTTGCTAACAAACTAACTAGGACAGAAAATAGCCTTCCATTTGAAACAAGATAACCGGTGTTGAGTACTTGAAAGGAAATGTCCCCTAAGTAGGCCAATCATTTGAGATCACTATATATATAAATAATTCAATAATATAGATTGAGAACTTTAGGGAGCGATGTGGATTCTCTTCTGATCTGAGGGGTTTGAATTATTTATTTCTTGCGTGCGATTCTGCGGTACTTTGGGTTACAAATAAGAAGCCTGATTGGAAATGGCATCCAAACACAAGAAACCCACAATACCGCCAGCATTCTTTTTTTCACTTATCCTGGTCAGTTTTATACCTTTTAATTTCAAAACAATTAATTTTACAACGGTTTATGAAATGATATAAATCTTGCATACAGTTTCTACAGAATATCAGCTTCTTTCACATATTCATTTTGTTTGGTTGCCATGATGAAAACACAGAATGCAACAGAGCGTGGAAATTTATTCTTCGATATTTACCATATCAACAAATGTTGTCACAAATATCACAACTTTATATTAAATAAAATGTATATTGTTTATTCTCATTGGTTTTAATTGTGAATATTGTTGTTGTCGATGGATTATACTGAGATTGTGTTTGGTATGTTTGGATGCGGTTGCACAGCTTGGCTGTATCGATGAGACACCAGAGACATGGACGGGTACAGCGACTGTAGCAGCTCCGGTAAGATAAAACCTTCCTCTAACGTCTCATTTCGCAACATTGTACGTTACCCTTGTGTATATAGTGTATACATAACATCCCAGACTTTCCCTGGTGATTCTATTTTGGCTCAGTTATTTGGGCGCGGGGAAAATCCAGTGGGCTGGGAATGGCCCCAGGCCAAAATCATGTTAGTGAAACTAGCACGATCATGCCTTGACCCTCTTGATCAATGTTCAGTATTATTTGCGCAATGTTCTCCAGATTTCCACGATAATATTCCCAGTGCAAATAGAAAAGTCTAAGGGAAATACAATGGCTCTCTGTGATCAGAGGTTCAGCGTTTTCTATTGGCCGAGAAGTTTGTTTTGAATTCTCGGCAGGTTTTTATCGTCATAGCAACTTTTACGGTTGCCTGTGTCCAACCGTGAGAAAATCCCACGAATGTTGTCATACGTGATATTACACATGTATATTTATATATGTCATACATATCGTATGGATGATATGTTATACATTTAAACTTCATCGCTGCATCATACTTTAGATTCTTTTTTCTAATAAAAACTGGCATGTATGTTAAAATAACACAGGCCCATAACATAGCTATGGTCTTTAGGGTTAGTTTTTTATTGTCTTAATTTCAGAAAGACAATAAGAACTTTGTGGATTTCCTAAGTATAGGCATGACACAGTGTTTGCATAGTATCATGCCCAATCTGTAGATTGTAACGTATTTAGACAACATAATTAGCATTTTTTGGCTGTCAATAATATCTGTGTTTATACTTTGCAATGTCAACCTTAGGTACAGCTAGGTCACTCTTCCAAATTCTTGCTGAAAGGGATTTTTGTTTTCTCAATGTCTGAATGTCAGTCAAAGAGAGTTGTGTGTTTACACAAGGGGGTTAGGTAGTGGTATTTTCTACCTTAACCCTGTACCCCTGTAGAAATCTAAACAGGAAAAGTGGGTCATGTTGTGGGACAATACAGTGGCTAATGGACCAGCACAAGTAACATGTCACAGATGTGTGTGGTTATCTGGTAGCCTGATAGGAAGGATTATATTATGTGTATCTGGGTTGGACTGTTGTCAGTATCAAAGCTAGTTAAGTAGTCTCTTATCTATACTATTCTAAGCACAGGTTTGCTTGCTAGCTATCATTATAGAACTGTTAAGCATTTGAAGATTTGCTTGATGAAAATATACTTAGTAAGTGAGAACTCTTAGTAAGCTCTTGGCTTCGAGTTGCATATATAGAAATCTGTAACAAAGTTTGAATTTGGAACAGGCATTCGAAAGTTCCATCCCTGGTACACTACTTCTAAAAATTATTTAGTACCCGAAAATAGTTGCATTTTTTTGTACTGGCATAACAAGAGCCAAGCTTTTCAATGAGAATGGGTGCCAGGCTATTCAATAGGCAAATGACCAGTGGATCTAGGATTCTAAGGCATAAGTACAGATACTAGGCTATATCAACACTTCCTTCCTGTGTAAATCCTTCACAATTTTGTAATAAGTCTAAGTTTCATGAAGTATTCGAGTCATCAGAGATAGAATTCAATGATAATGTGATAGTCCCAAAATGGGGGCCCGCAAGCCCTTTTCCGTAGAGCGTAATCGGCAGTTTTAATTCCACGTAGAGCGTAGACGGATCGCTCTAATATTTTTGCGTAGAGCGTATTCGGCATTTTAATTCTACGTAATGCGTTGTAGCCACTTGGAATTTATCGTTAAGCTTAATCAAGAGGTTTCCGAATTCAGCGTAGAGCATTGTCGGGACCCCCCCTTGCAGGCCCTCCAGAATTGCTGCACAACAAAATGACTTGCTTCCTACTGAATCCTATAGAACAACATTTTAAAACTTAAAAACGAGCAAGAACCTTCTAGCCTGAAGTAGTCTAGCTGCTTTCTAACAATTACAAACGGTAATTCTTTTAAAGAAAAAGTCAAATTAGACGTAATTGTCGATGAGTGATTGTTACCTGTCTCTGTTCATTTTGTAATTTGCCAAAGGGCGGATCTGAACCAAATGCCACCAACTGTTTCTAGACTGAGTCTGACTCATCCAATTTTCAAAACTATGTTTTTTCCTTGCCGTCCCAGTAAAAAAGTTTATAAGATGAACAGTTTATAATATGGCTGTCAGCCTCCCAGAAATTCCTTTTTCTTTTCAAATACGGTACAATGTACTAGTAATTAATCTCCAAGCAGATCCTACGGTGGCAAGACAACTCCATTGTCCAGAGGAGTGTCCATTAGCCACCGTAGGATCTTCTTGGAGATTAAGTTAGTACTCTACTAGTAATACAATTATTTCGATCACAGGCTGTTATTATCTTTTGTATACCTTGCATTGTTCTAAACTAGTGTGAATAGCTCACGCTTTTACCAAGGCAGTAGGGGGTATGAATGAAAAGAAATCTATACTATTATTGACTTGAGTGATTAACAGTACACTCAGGGTCTTGTAGAACCCTCCTTTGCTATCCTCTTGTAGACTCAGCCAAGCAGGGAAAAAAATGTGGGGAAAAGATCTCACTCTGTATTTGATTCTGTAGTGATCAAATTTTGTCAGTAAAAAAAGAGGGCCTGCATGGGGGATAGTGATTACAAATTATGCAAACTTTTCGCCCCCGATTATGAATATTCTCCGAGCTAATTACGAACAATTTTGCGTTATGGCAGCTAATGTAACGATTATGAATTATGATGATGTTGGGTGACTGCCTACAGATTACAAAGAGTAACTAGAAAGGTAACATTTGCAAAGCAAATGCATAATGTTTACCTTTTAAGTCTTACTCAAACACATTCATATACTGTGACAGGAGTCTAAATCCCTCCTGCTATAAATTGCAACACGATGTAACACAACACTAGTTACCATGGTGACTGACATCTGGTTCAAGTCATTGACCTTAGTTGTTTGGAGAAGAAGAGGAAGAAGAAACAGAGCAAAAATAATATGTTTTCCTTCTGCAAAGGTAAACATTAAAAGGCCCAAATACATGTACGCCTTTAAAAAAAGGCCTGCAGGCCCTCAAAAAAGTGACTTGTCTTGAAGGTGATTCATCGCCTTCTTGGTTCATAAAGTAAACGTTATGATATGAGTACAAGTTGTCACAAGTCTGTGTTATCTTGTAACAGCAGCCCCGCACCTCAAGCTTATCTTCCATTCCGCCACCCCACAATTGTTTATGACAGTTGTTGGGCCCACAGACTGAAACCACAGCTCAAACACGTTTATACGAATCCCGAGAAACGTTTCAAAATTGCGGAAACCTCTGAGGACCCAGCTTTACGTATGGTGCGAGGGCAGTCATTTTGATTGGGAAAGACTTGTCGTACGCCCTTGAGACACTGGTTGCATACAAATGGACTAATGCCTGCATTTATTAGGGGTTGCACACTTGTAGCATAGATAATGCTGTTGCAGTACCTTGATACATGATGTTCCTCATACATTGTATACGACTTTGTAAAATATTTTATATTTTATAAGAGATACATAGAAAAAAGGTTAAATCATCAAAAAGCAGAAGAGGGAATTATTGTATGGTCAGATCCTTGCTTTTTTACTTTCTTACTATGGAAAATAATGGATATTTGGTACATGGTCTGATATCGCTTTCAGCATACATCTACATGTACTCTACAATGTGTCTTTTGCAATTATTCACAATCAGTTCTGAAGAGTTTAGTGGGTTGATGTAATGTGGCTATAATATTTGGTGTGTGTTTTATTACTATTGTACTATATTGTACATCAAGCCTAGAGAGAAATAAAAGAGGGCCTGCATGCCCTTTTTAGAATAGTATTAGGCATAATCAGACCTTTCTAGTTTTCGTAATCCGTAGGCAGCTGCCCAAAATCATCGTAATTCATAATCAGTACATTAGCCGTAATTGTTCGTAATCAGCTCTGAGAATTTAACGTAATTCGTGGGGAAGATTTGCTGTAATTCGGAATCTCTAAACCCCCCATACAGGCCCTCATAAAAACTTTTCAACACGCAGAATTTCAATTGCCAGTAACCTCCTGCATCTTGCAATGGGACTGTCACATATTTCATTCCTTTTTATCGCGGCACAATATCCTGTCTTCCCAGGCCTCTCAATCCTTCACAGACACTACCAGGCAATTACCGCAGTGTTATCATATACCCTGGGAGTTTGATAAGGCCTTAGTTAAACCTCAAGTGGGCATGCATCAGTGCCTGCTCAGATGATAGGAGAAAATATAGAATAAAACTGTAGGATTGAAAAGAAAGTGATGAATACATGTCTCCTATACTGACGAGATTATATGAGGCCTAGGAAAAAAATGTAGTGTTTCCTGTTTC